CGGGGCTCGGGGTCGGGGGTCTCAGTGGCCCACCTTGTTTTTCATGCACCCCTGCTCCTGGGTGTCCAGGCTGGCAGCTCTCCTGCCCTAGCCAGCCACTTTCCTGTGCCTAGTGCGGAGATCATGGACGAGGTCCACGATGTCCGCACTAGCCCAGGAAGGTGCCCGCCTCTTGCGGTCCCGGGCAAGCTCCCGGGAGCCGCCAGCCTGGTCCCGGGAAGAGGGGGTGGGCTGGGGGACATCGGGTGGGTGGCTATGAGTGTTAGTTTGAACTAACGTCCGTTAGTTCGAACTAACATTGTAGTGTAGACATACCCGATGGTATTCCCTCGGAAATCCTTAAATGCGCTAACGGTACCCTAGTCTTAGAGCTGAACTTGATGCTGAACCCACCATGGAAGAACTTAGCGACACGCTAAAAGCACTCTCTTCTGGAAAAGCCCCAGCGAAAGATGGTATTCCCTTGGAAATCCTTAAATGCGCTAACGGTACCCTAGTCTTAGAGCTGTATGGAATACTCTGCCAGTGTTGGAGAGAAGGCAGCGTACCGCAAGATATGAGGGATGCTAACATCATTACTGTCTACAAGAACAAGGGTGACAAAAGCGATTGCAACAACTATCGCAGCATCTCCCTTCTCAGCACCGTGGGGAAGCTATTTGCACATGTTGTGCTGAAAAGGCTCCATGCTCTTGCAGAGAGAGTCTACCCTGAGTCTCAGTGTGGGTTCAGAGCTGAACGGTCCACCATAGACATGGTTTTCTCTGTTAGGCAACTACAAGAAAAGTGCAGGGAACAGAACAAACCTTTGCATATTGCTTTCATCGATCTGACGAAAGCATTTGACCTTGTCAGTAGAAAAGGTCTGTTCGCAATTCTGGCTAAGATCGGCTGTCCTCCAACTCTGCTCAGCATTGTTAGGGCCTTCCATGATGGCATGAGGGGGACCATCATATACGATGGATCCACATCCGAACCCTTCGAGATTCTCAGCGGAGTGAAGCAGGGATGCATGCTGGCTCCAACACTGTTTGGCATCTTCTTTGCAGTTTTGCTCAAATATGCCTTTAGAACTGCTACAGAGGGCATCTTTCTCCGCACGAGAACAGAAGGCAACCTCTTCAAACTGTTGAAGACCAGGGTGCTTACGAAGCGTCTAAGGGAGTTCCTTTTTGCTGTTGATGCATCTTTGGAACTGCTACAGAGGGCATCTTTCTCCGTACGAGAACGGATGGCAACCTCTTCAAATGGTTGAGGCTTAGAGCAAAGACCAGGGTGCTTACGAAGTGTCTAAGGGAGTTCCTTTTTGCTGACGATGCAGCTATTGCTGCTCACACTTAGCAGGAACTGCAGTCACTCATAACTCGCTTTGCGGATGCATGTATGGAATTCGGCCTCACAATCAGCTTAAAGAAGACCCAGGTGATGGGCCAAAGCGTGGGTAACGAGCCATTTATCAGTGTGTTAGATTATGAACTGGAAGTCGCCCATGAGTTTGTGTACCTAGGCTCTACGATCTTGGATAACTTGTCATTTGATAGTGAGATTAACAAGCGCATTGGAAAAGCCGCCACAACGTTCACCAGGCTGACGAAGAGAGTATGGGCCAATAATAAGCTTACTATACACACCAGGGTGCAGGTCTACACAGCCTGTGTTTTGAGCACACTGTTGTACGCCAGTGAAACATGGACTTTGTGCTCAAAACAAGAGCAGTGGCTCAACACATCCATATGCGCTGCCTTAGGCGTATACTCGGTATCTCATGGCAGGACAAGATCCCCAATAGCGCAGTGCTTGAGAGGGCAGGCACCGTCTCCATGTTCACCCTTCTCAAACAGAGGCTGTGCTCGGCCATGTCTCACGCATGTTGGATGGCCGAATGCCGAAGGACCTTCTCTTTGGCGAATTGGCGTCTGGAAAGAGGACGAAAGGGTGACCTAAATTGCTCTATAAGGATACGTGCAAGTGTGACCTCAGCGCATGCTCTATCAGTGCAAACACCTGGCATTTGCTCGCCTTAGACAAATATGCCTGGAAACAGGGAGTGAAGGAAGCTCTTGCTATGTATGAAACTACCTTGGTGAAGGAAGCGGAAGACAAGAGAGCCCTCAGGAAGATCTGTGCCCGTGATACCAGAGCGACATCTGCCTACTGCTGCTCACTGTGCGGAAAGGACTGCCAGATTGCACAGACACAGACACAGAAGATGCTGCTCGAATCAGTCCAACAGGGGCGCAAACCCATGATCCTTCGGGATCGAAGGATGCCTACAATTACGATTATGCCCTAGCAGGGGTACCGGCGCCACCCCTTAGAGCGCACGCCACGAGAGCTGTGGCAGCCTCCACCGCTTTCATGGTGCAGGTTCCCAACCTGGACATCTGAAGAGCCGTGACATGGTCCTCTCTCCATACCTTCGCCAATCACTATGCGGGAACACATCAAGCGAGGGAAGGCACTGCCCTGGGCAGGGCGGTCCTCCACTCCTATGTAGCTTCAACATCTGGCACTCCTCCATAGGTTCTGCTTTGGAGTCACCTAATTGGAATGCACATGAGCAATCACTCAAAGAAGAAAGAATGGTTACTTACCTCGTAACTGTGATTCTTCGAGATGTGTTGCTCATGTCCATTCCAAATCCCTGCCTGCCACCCTTTCTCCGGAGTATATAAGAGTATGTAAGAAGGAACTGAGTTGGTGAGGGGGCCAGCAGGGGTATATATGGGCTGATGTTGGGGGCTCCCCACTGGCCCTAAAGGTACTGCTAAGGGAAAAACTTCCAATGACACACCTAGTTGGAATGGATATGAGCAATACATCTTGAAGAATCCCAGTTACGAGGTAAAACAAAAAAACAGGACTGTGTAGCAATTTAAAGACTAACAAGATGGTTTATTAGGTGATGAGCTTTCGTGGACCAGACCCACTTCCTCAGATCAAATAGTGGAAGAAAATTGTCACAACCATATATACCAAAGGATACAATTAAAAAAAAAAGTGAACACATATGAAAAGGACAAATTAAATTTCAGAACAGAAGGGGGATGGGAGGGGGAAGGTAAATGTCTGTGAGCTAATGATATTAGAGGTGATAATTGAGGAAGCTATCTTTGTAATGGGTAAGTAACTGTTCTTTCTGGAAGAATCCCCCCTAAACACGTATTCCATCTTTTAGGAACATATAGTCATGTCTGTGAACCTCATTTCCTTTCCAAGTTGTAGTTACAATGGGTGAGATGAAAATTCAGATTAGAAAACAGTACTTGAAAACTAAATGGATACAGTTTGTGAACAATGCTGTTTTATTCCTTAATGGGGGGCACATTCTTCAATAGGCTTTATTGAGGGCTTGAGGAGCAATATGAGTTATTGGATCAGAGGAGAGGACTAAACATGATGCTTTAGAAAACCTTCTCCCCTCAATTTGGGGTTAATCTAAGAAGATGTCTTTTTGCCTGTTTTCTTCTCCAGGTATGGTATGCTGCCTCCTATGCAGAGTTCGTGAACCAGAAGATCCATGACATATCTGAGGAGGAAAGGAAGGGTAATTTGTTTTTATCTCTTTCCTTCTTCTCTGTGGCTGCTGTATTAAAAAGAGGTGTCTGACTTTATAATAGTGGTCCTGATCCTTCAGGCAAAAATTCAAATAGGAATTTTACCTATGTAAGAGCAACAGTTTCGGACCCTCCATTTGCTGTTATAGATGCTAAAATCATGGTAATTTAGCCTCATGTTTAAGGGCTTCAGATAATTACCAGAAGGGTGGGCAAGAGATTTCTCCCACATATTGAACTATATTACTAGGGGCTGCAGAAGTGGGGGTTGCTTTTCTCTGAAGCATCAGGTGACTGATGATGGTAGAGTTCTGTACTTGGAGTACAGTGGAAGAATCCAATATGATCTATCTGTGTTCCAGTTGTTTTTCTGGGAAGTTTTGTTGGACAATGTAAAATACAACAAAACATAACCTATGGTAAGGAAAACATCCCCAGTAGGCAACCTCCTGTCTCAAATAATTTCTTCAAAGTCTCAAAGAGGTTTAACCACTTATATAAACAAAATGATTTTTGCTGTCTTTTAAGCCAAGCTTAAATTTCTAGGTATTTTTGGACTGTATTTTAGTAATTATGTATTTGAAAGTCTTATGTGTTGTTTAGAAATGCAACTTCATATAGGCAATTTGTTAGGAGATGGAATTGGGGGCAATGTAAATATTTAATTTCTCCGGATCTTCAACATAAATATTCCTCAATCCTATTCACTACCTTCCTCATTTTTCTGCTATCGGCTGATGTCAGCTTGTAGACCAGGGGTGCTAAGAGTGAAGCCTGCAAGCCACGTAGAGCAATAGAGTAGATTGATGGCAAGACACAATCTTCAGTATGTAAGTGTGGCCTACAGAGACGACTGGGGACAAAAGGGCTTGGAGAAAACTTGAGATGTTTAATTGTTGCTGACTGACATGCTGTCATTGATACTTCCAACTTGATATAGTTCTCCGAGACCAAGAGAAGAACTGGCCATGTTATGAATGCAATCGTCGCTTCATGAGCTCAGAGCAGCTCCAACAACACCTCAACACCCATGATGAGAAGCTGGATTTCTTTAGCAGGTATTTATCATTACACAGAAACTGGGTATCCCAACTCTCAGCAGTGAAAGGTGAATCTGAAAAAGTCTAGCGTTACTATTATTATTTATATAGCACTGTAGATATGCGTGGTGTTTTACAGAATTAGAAAAAGAAAGGGGCGCTGCCCTGAGGAGTTGACAGACCTACTCAGACAA